GGGGGGGGGGGGGGGGGGGGGGGGGGGGGAGCGGTATGCCGCGAAAAGGGTTCGATTTTTCGCTTGGCTTGTAAGGGTAGTCCCGGTTTTTGTTGCGATGGCGCTGAGGGCGTATGCCGGAGGACGGCTGCTTCTGATGGCGATGGAAGCATGACGCGGAGCAATCGGTGGAAGCTCGTCTAGTCTCGGGAGGGGGGTGGGGTTCGGTTTCGGGAGTCGGGGCGTCATCTGTGGTGCTGCTGCAGTGTTCCGGTGCCCTCATGTCTTGCTGTGTTTGCTTGTCTGGTAGAGCCGATGCCACAGGCGAGCATCAGCGTCCGGTTCGAATGTGCGCTTGGCCCCACAACTTCTGGCTTGTCGCCTTCGCAACCGGCTACTTTCGCAAGGCGACGGACTTCGTTCATGCACGCGCCCTTCTCGTCGTGTCGCTTCATGTTTTTTTTTTGAAGCTCGGAGCAACCTTGGCCAACAGCCGACAGAGCGAAGCCGCCCTCCCCGCGTACCGCCGGGCAATCGCTAGCAAACCCGGGTACGCACGGGCGTGGCTGAACATGGGCATAAGCCAGGTATGGAGCGCAATTGAGTGTACGATTTTGTTGCAACAGGATATGGCGACTAAACCACGTTGCGGTTACTCGTAGACCCCTTCAACAGTAGTTCACGAGGGAGTCGCTTTCCACCATCTGACTTGTCGTTTCCTGTGGTGGGTACACTTGGCACTGCTGTCGGAGGCGACATCTTGTATATTGTACACTGGCTTTTATCAGGGAAGAGCCCGAGTCGTGCAAGAAGATTCTTCACAGATTTCGATGTGTGTCTTTGCCGCCTTGCAAGCTCGCTCGGCCATGGAAGACATGGCCCGTATTTTTCATCGCGAATGCTGGTCGGTCCTTTTGCTGTGTCGCGATTTCTATGTGTTTTGCTCCGCAGGCGAATCTCAACCGTTACGAGGAAGCCTCGTCGTGCTACCTACAGGCCTTGAGGTTGAATCCAGAAGCGAAACACATATGGTGAGTTCACTACCACGCAACACGCCGTGTTTCCACAGGAACGCCGACGTGTACACTCTTTGTTTTAGTTGCTTGCTTGTGGGCCCGAAGACTTTTGTTTGCCCTTCTTGACTTGTTTGGGAACCTCTGTTTCCTCTGGTATGTAGCGTCGCTCATCACTGCGACAACATGGATCGAAGTACTGTAAGAGCAGCACCAGCGGAGTTTATGCATCAGCGCCCCGGCCCAGCATCTCTCACGTCTGTCGTGCTCCCTTGCATCAAGTTCAATACGGACAGCCCCAGTCACGCCGTAAACACCCTTCCCCATTCTCCCTACCCCTCTCGCACCTGGCCCTACCCTAACCTCTTCCTGTCCAAAACGCGGGGTAACCTCTCATTGGTTGGCATGTTTTTTTATTCTTGTCACCTTTGGATGGGGGGCTCGTGTATGTTCACCTGGGGGTGGGGGTGGCGGTTTGAAACACAGCCCTCCATGCCGCTCTAGCCTGGATGGCCATGGTGCCCTCGGAGTTGTTTGTAGAATAAGCAGGCTCTCTACAAGGCCTACCCTCCGGCGCAAGCCTAACACACAAGGGGGGCTAGGGACGATGAGGACGAGCAGCTTGGCAAGGAGCGAGCTGTGACGAGCGTCGCTTTCGAGCAAGCGTTTGTTGTCGGTGGATGCATCGCCGCCGTCGTCGCGGTTTTTGATGGATGGCTTGTTGCTGTTCGCCGTTCTTTTTTTTTTTTTTGGGGGGGGGTGAGTTTCGCTTATTTTGCATCGTGTCGGCTGCTGCGTGTGTGTGCCTGTCGCGCGGCTGCCTCGTGTGTTTATGTTGTGTGCTTGCGCCGCCTGCGCCTGTGTGACCTTGGCCGGTGAATGAATCGGTTGCCGCGATCAGGTCGTACCTGCGCATCGTCTTCAGCAGCATGGAGCGCTTCGACCTGGTGCAGAAAGCAGGCAAGGAGGACGCCGGGCTGTTCGAAGACGACTTTGACTTGGCCCTACCCACCCCGCCGCCGTAGACTCAGGCAACACGCTGGTAGATAGATAGCTGGTTGCTTGAACGGATACGGGTTGGTGTTGGACGTAAGCGGTTGAGAGGGTACGGCCAAGCTGACTGAGATTGGTATCTAGTCCTACGACCGCCCCCCCCCCCCCCCCCCCCCCCCCCCCCCCCCCCCCCCCCCCCNAGAAACAACCGGTGTTAAGGATATTACGACGGTGCGATTGCGATCTCGAGGATTGTAGGGCACAGGTCGGCGCCGTCGGCTATAGGCTGGCCCTGGCCTGTGCTTCACGTTAGGCGCGTGCGTCGTGTTTCTTGCAATTGTATCCGAGTCGTGAACAGGGGAAAAGCAGAGGGGACGTAAATGCACAGCTTGGTGTGTTTATTGTTTCGTGGTGTCCATGGTGCCATGCCACACACGGGATTGCCGACCTTGAAGCCTCTTCCCAAAAACCGAGAAAGGAGTTTCGAAAGCACGGGTGGAGCAAACAATCATTCATGGTTAACAGCTATGACAGCGCTGCGCCCACGCCGTCACTATCAGTGCCCTCCTCTTCAAACGTCCCCGAACGCCGTCCGTGGACACGGCAACGCCATCACACGCCCCCACCCACTCTCTTCCTGCCGTCGACCCGTCCATCTACATCACACCCGCAGATACATGCCAACTAAAGGAGCCGGCGGGTGTATTGTTGTGTTTCTCTCGTGGAAGACAGACGACAGGTAGATCATACAGATAGATCACACACGAGATGGTTGGGCCGACAAGTCGATCGACATGAGATCAATGAAGAGAGACGGATAGCACTACCGCAGCGGTGGATCCCTGCTGCCGCCGACGGCCGTCGACGAAGCTTGCCCCGCTGGACCCCTGCTTTTCTCTCCGCCAGCAGCAGTCTCGAGGGACGACAACGGCGGCGGCGCCAGAGACACGGCAGCAAGGGACAACCCCTCCACAACGTCGGCTGTTGCCCCTGATGGTGGTGGTGCTCGTGGTACCGTTACGGTAGGTGCGTTTCCCGCAACCGCGATCGATTCCTCCGCACCAAGGGCGTCATCTTCTGCGTCACCCCCTGCTCGCGTTACGGCCGCCTTCCCAGGGGTCGCTTCTCTCCCTGGCGAGCAACAACATGCGTATCCACCCTCCTTTTTACTGGCCTCCTCTGTGATAGCAGCAGCGGCAGCAGCAGCAGCAGCATTTGAGCCGATTTCTTGCTCCTTCCCTCGCTCTCCACCGGGTTGCTGGTCCTCGCCGCCGCAACCCCTGCCGTTAGCGCTACTACTGCTGCTGCTGTTGGTCCGGCGCAGCTTGCACAGGAGCACCTCCGAGTTCTCGTGGTCGTAGGCCTTGTCCATGTGCCTCCTGGGCGCTTGCCTCACGGCGAAGTCCTCGCTCAGCCGAGCCCTAGAACAAAAAAGAAGAAACAATTTGAGTGAATCCTTCCCGCTAGATTCAACCTGCCCGGCATCTCACTGCCACTCGATGTAACGGAACCGGACTGTTGAGATGGAGTGTATCCGACGTTTCCTAGCTTCAAGGAGTTCCGGTCTTGACATGCCGTCTGCCCTATTTTCTAGTGAGTAAACCGCCGAAGGCATTCCTTCCGAAAAAGACCGCCTACACATTGTGGAAGTAACTTGAAGTGCGCGCTGATTTTATAGTGAGAAACCGCCGGAGGCATTTCCACCGGAGACATTTCTTCAGATAAAACCCGCCTACCCTTGGCGTAAGTAACTTCTTCGCCTAATCAAAACCCACCTAAACTTGGCGTACGTGACTTCCTCGCGCTTCTCGCTCGCCACGAGCACGGTCGTCCCGCGGTCGGAGCACCGCGCCATCGACCAGACGAGGGATTCCACCAGGCGTTCGACGTACACGCAGTCGCAGGCGACGATGTAGTCGTACGGCGGGGAGAGCCCGTCCAGCGGCTTTCCCCAGTCATACTCGAGCACCTTTAGATAATTTAGTTTTTGTGGTTTGGTTTTCATTTTCGTGCGTTGCAAGACGCTGGTTGGTGTGATTGGGAGGGGAGGGAGCACCACGTGGTCCTCTTGCCGCGCAGCCAAAGGCAAGCAGCTTGGATCGGGGCAAGCAGGATAGCGGCGAGGACGCTGCGGAAACTGCTGTCAATACACGATGTACATAGCACCTGAGACGTACGTACGTACGTACCTCAGTATCTTCCCTCGGCATCTAGTGGCGGGACAATTCTTCGGCCTGAGACCTCATACCACAAGCCCTGCCACAAAGCGGCCACGACCTGAAAAAAAAAAGCTTGAATCAACGTCCACCGGCAATACGAGGTTCCCGACAACCTAAAATCCCAAAATCACGCCGTCGAGGTCCATCTCCTTCCTCTCACTTGTGCTTTCGGGCGGGCGGGGGCGGCGGCGGCGACGGATTTTCCCCCTCTGCCGCGTGCTTCTCTCAAGTCCGACGCGGCAGTCGTGCCGGCAGCAGCAGCTTCCACCGCTTGCCCGCCAAGGTTCATGGTGACGTTTCGATGTAGGAGAGGGACCACCTCAATCTACACGGCGGGTGGTGGAGTGCCCACCCAGTCCGTATCGAAAACAAACCGCGCGACAGGAAGAGCAAGAGAGAGTAAGTACAACAGCAACGACCAGACTCACTAGCGTCAAGTCTATGGCGCGCGATTGTAAACAAACACGGAGTGCTTTCTTTCTTTAACACAATGCACAGGCCTGCCTGTTTAAGATGGGACCAGCATATGTTGGAGCATCCGAATCAGGGCGGCGGCCACACGTTTCGCCAAACCAGGACGGTGAAACAAAAGGCTTTGTTCGCTCCCCGGCCTTAACCTTAACCTCGAACCAACCCATTGTAGTGTTGGAGTGATGCCCTTGCCTGAAATACCGTGGGTCGTCGTTGTCGTTGCTTGCAACAACCAACCTCGTTTTGCAAAACGCGATGAAAACGAATTTGGTCTCGCCACTTACTATACGTTCGTGCCCGTGCTCTAGAAAAGTGGCCCACACGCTTGTAAAAAACAAATGGGCAACGAAAGGACCATGTTACGTGGGGCCATGCCCCAGGTCTGGTCAAGGGCGCGTCATGACATCACGACAACAGGCAAGCGAGTGCAATGCCAGGTACTGCAGTTCCTCATGGAAAGTCTACGCGTCTCTTCTTTCAGCTAATGTTCAGTACCATTGCTCAAATAGTTACGTGCTTGTGGTGTCATATGTCTCGGTTGGAACGTAAGCGTATGCTACGTGCTGGGATACAGTAGACACACAAATTCCCGTAATGCTGCAGTATTGCTGTATAGTATCTCACCAAGTCCGTGAAAGTCACGTGCGCACCCTGCAGGGCGAAGTACATCCCCGCCAAGCCGCACCCCGCGCCCAGCTCCAGGACTCTCTTGCCCTCCAGCCTTCGCCGGGAGTACAGCTGCGGGTTGCGCTCCATGTAGCGGACTAGAATCACGCTCGCGTCCCAGATCGTGGTGCCGAGGTTGTCAGAATTGGGGTCCTTGTTTTTTTTTTGTGTGTTTTTGAACGAAAAATGTGCAGAGGGCGCGAGCGGCGGTCGGAATCCTAATCCTGCACAGGCCCATGCTGGGCAGTTCCTTTCTACATATCGCAGTTTCTCTTGTACTGGGACACGGCAGAGGGCGTCCGGGTGGGTACGCCAGAAGAAAGAGCACCTGGCGGGGATCGCGGGACTTCGAGACCCATGTACAGTGCCAAGAAGGCGGCACGCATCACCAAGCGTCAAGCAAAGCCAGCGGACAAGATTTTACTACGTTGCTTAGAGCTCGCGCTGTTTTATTTTCGCCTAGGACTCAGGCACCATAGTCTATGCAACAATGGCCCTATTTGTGCGACCTCTGCGTAGCTACATACGAATACGAAGGCTCCACCGGGTCTCTCAGATTCCACGAGCCCGTTATTATGCATTTCGTCTTTTCGTTTTAGACGCATATCGTAGTGTGGTCGCGCGGTCGCGTGTGTTTTTCGTGTTTAGCGAATCAGTGGAAAGATGGTTTGAAAGTTTAAATGTTTGAATCGGCGGATCCGCGGATCGACCCACAAAAAAAAGCTGACAGTCCCGCCACTTCGTTCGACAGTCTATTTTCAAACCCTACCCACGGAGCAACAGCGGCAGTCGCGCGAGCAGTATCTCATGGATGTGAACTGGTCCGGCAGTCTCCTCTGGAGAGGGACAACGCAACCACAACCAGTACTAGTGGAGGTCGACAACGAATGTGGAGACGCAGAGCAGACCACCCACACACGTGGGGGGCACACGAAAGAACGATGCTTTCAGACGCTCCCGTAAAAGTGTAGCGTGTGGCATACCTGGGCGATGTTGAGCTGTGTGCCACAGACCTCGATGGGAACGACGTGCGAGTGATGGGTATTCCATCGTTGAAACTCTCCCATCGATCGCCACACACCCCGACCAGAGCGCAATATGTAACACAAAAAAAGCCCGTGGCGATTTCATTTCGCGATTTCGACGGGGGGACGCAGATGATGGAGTTTTCAGAAGCAGCAAGGGATGGGGGTAAACAGGTGTCTTTGCGCAGGCCAGCCGCAGCCACACATTTAAACGTACTGCTTGTACGAAGATGGAGAGTACCGACCTACACACGTTGTTCGAGAGACACATGTATGCATGCGCATGCAGGCTACATGTGTTCATGTGTCGCTTCGTTTGGCCATATGTTTCGTGCAGAACGAAGTGTAGCCAGTCCCGGAATCGGTTGTGGAAGGAAAAACCTCCAGACTCATTTTTTTAAAATGCCTTATGTTGAAGGCCCCGCACACGCCTGGGTGGACCACGAACAATATTTACCACGATCCCCCCCCCAGTATTCTCACTCCGTCGGGGCAGCACCGGCGGGGTACGGTGCCGAGACTGACGCCATCCGTGCTGCCCTCAACTATCCCTGTTGGATGTCGGCGTTTACCACGACCCAGTAGGTGATGGGCACACGTCGCTCTCGGGGGGCGAGTACATCGTTGAGTCAAGCGCAATGTCCATGCCGGTATTTGGTCAATCAAGCGGGGTCCGCGTTTGTTTCCCGGAGTGTCATCGGCGTTGAAATTACGAGATGGGAAGGAGGACTAAGGCCGGATACTCGAGCGTTTTCGCGGTTCGCTGAGGGCGGTGTAACGCCTTTGCAGCCACCA